TAGCTGAATTTAAACTGACTTATAAAGACTTAAATAAATAATTAACATTCTTTGCCATTAAGGAAATGAAAAATCAAAACTGCCTGAATAATTCATCTTATACTTGTTAGGATAGCGAGGATCAACAACACAAGTAACAACTCCTGCTGCAATGATGTGGAGCAAAGGGAATACTCCCCCATTGCTGCTGGGAATGCAAACCTGTATAGCCACTATAGAAATCAATATGGCAGTTCCTCAGATAATTGTTAATCATTTTACCTCAAGTCTTAGCTATACCATTGTGGTAGTATGAATGTAGTTGGCTCCCATTATCACGTAGGGCCTGAAAGTAGTGGGAGGTGTGGCTATTTTGGTGTGGGCATGGCTTTGTCAGAGGAATTGTGTCAGGTAACTTCCTGTTGCCTGAGTCAAGATCAGAGTACTCTAGGGTCCAGCATTACATCTGGCTGCCTGCTTACATGCTCCCAGTAATGATAATAGTTGACTGAATCTCTGAAATTGTAAGTGAGCCACTTTAATAAAATGTTTTCATTATAAGAGTTTGAATAGTGTAGGTGTCTCTTTAGGCCAATAAAATCCTAACTAAAACTGAAGTTGGTCCCAGGGACTGGGGTATTGCTGTGCTAGGCCTGCCCATACTTTTTTTTGGAATAATATGAACTCTGGTACATTGGCTTGTGAAAAGCTTTAAATGCATTAATATCTGCATAGTAGACCATACTAAGAGGAGCATGGGTGACAGTGACCTTGATAATGATGTGAAATATCTGGAGCTAGCTCAAGATGTTTCAGTTAGGATTTTAGTATGTTGCCTAGGAATTATTCTAGTGATATTTTGTTTTAGAAAATGACTGCATTCTGCCTTTGGTCAAAGAATCTGCTTGAGTTTAAATTAAAATGTTTTTTGTTAATTCCATTGACTGAAGAAATCTCATGAGTCTAGGATAGACTCTGTCATGAGGATATTAGTGTTAACTCTACTGAAGATATGTAACTTAAGGAGCAGCTGAGCAAGGAAAAATACTTGGGAAAAAAAAAGGGGCCCTTAAAAGTGAAATGTTGCTACATTTGCTGTTCAAGGACATAAAGTGATTAAGAAAGGTGGTAATAAAGGAAGTGGTGATAAGGTAGTGTTTGCAAGAGCCTTCAATCCTACTGCACAGACATGAGGGGACGACTTATCTCTGTAAATGCAAGGCCATCCTGGCCTACCTAATAATTTTCAGGACAGCCAAACTTAGGCAGTAAAAAAAGAAAGCTGGAAAATATGTAAATAAACTAAGTGCCATGTTCTAACCCCATTAAACAACAGAACCTTACACCTTTGGTCATGTGATTCTGGCTTAAGTCTTAAGGAAAGGAGAAACATGTTTTAGATCCTCTGGTTCTGGGTAGCTGTGATGAGAAAGTTCTCAGAAGTATTTAAATGAAATTTTGCTTTGCTGGGTACTTGATTCTGGTTGGCTTGAACTAAGAAACCAGTGATAATTAAGGGACCCTCATCACTGATGTGAAAATGTCTGGGAAGTGTTTTATAAGAGCACACAGAAGCTGTCTTCCAGAGGCAGCCACGTTTGAACCTCATGCTGGTAGATGGAGTTTGTAATGTGTCTCACTCAGGTGGTTTTGCTTTTGAAGGTATTGATGGATGTAAGGCTTGGCACTGTGAGGCCAGGAGAGGACATCACTGAAGGTTTAGTCTCATTGGCGGTTGAATAACCAGGACTATAAGGGTCATGCCAATAGGTGCGACTCCTTGAGGTGATCCTATGAGAAACTACTGGTGAAAGTGAAACCCAGTTGCAATAGAAGACCCCAGAGTTTTGGAGAGGCCAGCCCTGTGAGATGACCACCAAAACAGCAGTGACAGTGGAACTGAGCCAGCCAGAGTCTAGAAGACCAGGTGTGTGTACTGCAGAGGGCAGAGTCAGTGTATTGACCCCAAACCAATGGAAAACTACAGAAGATCTTGAGTGGATTTTAATATTGGAAGTTTGCAATTCTTTAATTACTCAAGATGTTACAGATCCCAGGGTCATAGGTTACCTGCCAAGGAGAGCAACTAATGGGAAATGGAACCAGCCCAAGAAAAAGAAATATGCTGCTCTCAACAAAGCTTAACAGGATTGGAGACCTAAGAGCTCTTGGTCATGGAATTAGGTATCATCACATTGGCAGTTTTTCTTTATTATTACTTGTATTTGGTTCTACCCTAGTTCTCTGAGCCATCCAACTTCCGGATCCTGCCCATCTAGGTGCTCTTCCTAATTGGGCCAGTCATTGGTTAACCACTACACAAATCTTAAGCCACCATTTTGCTGATATATCATTCAAACACAAGTGTGTGTCAAATATTTTGTGAATGGCTTAGTTTCCTAGGCGCACCACTGAGAGCCATATATGATTCCAGAAGTTGACCAGTACAGGCTCCATGTTTCTGAGTTATAGGGAGTTCTCATTATAATCACCCTCAAAGATTGCAGAATATTGTTACTGCACTGTTTCAACATCAAGCCTTGAAAGCTTTCCTATTCTAGTAATTTCTTGCAGTGTTTTCCCCTCCATACCTCCATTGACTCCCATGATCCTTCCTGTTCTTGCTGTGAGTACACCCATAAAATCTAGTCAATTTAATCTTCCTGTTTGGGATCCATGCACCCCTTGCTACAGCCATGGTTGTCACTTACCCTATCTGGGTCTGTGGATTGTACTGTGATTAGTCTTTACTCAACAGCTAATATCCACTTACAATGAGTACACATCATGTTTGACTATGTAGATTGGGTTTACTTGCTCAGAAGCAAAGAACTCAAGAAGCAACACATCAAGAAAAAATTAATTAAATAAGCTTGTGGTACAGATTTAGACAAGGAGTTCTAAATAGATGAATCTAAACTGTCTTAGAAACACTTCACTAAATGTTCACTTAGCCATCAATAAAATGTACATCAAAAGAGCTTTTAGAATTCACCTTATACCTGTCAGAATAGCTAGGTTCAATAACAAAAGAAACAACTCATGCTGGCAAGGATGCTGAGTAAGGGGAACATTCTCCATTGCTGCTGGGAATATAAACCTGTATAGCCACTATGGCATTTCCTCAGATAATTTGGAATCTATCTACCTTAAAACTCAGATAAATCACTCTGGTAGTTTGAATGTAGTTAGACCCAATAATCTCCTAGGAAGTGGCACTACTGGATGTGACTTTATTGTGTTATGTCCAAGTCAATCAATATCATGATTGTGATAAAGAGATTCACATTGAAACACTTCAGGAATTGTTCCAGCCTATGACAATCATTGACGTTAGACTATATACTTTTTTATCACGTAGATGACTATGAATATTTATGGATCAGGGTCAGAATGTAGTTGATTGAAGGAAAAGGTCCAAAATTGGAAGAAGTGGTTGAACACTTGTCTCTCCAGGGTGCTCTTTTTTGTTTTATTTGTGGAACATTTAGTAGGCGAAATCTTTTGGATGAAATTTCTGTATTAGGGATTGGATTTACATGTGTACAGCCTGAACCCATTTCTGGTTATGTGGGTCCTGCTATTATGTCACCACCATTATACATGGCATCACTAAATGACAACAGGTGCAATTGAAGCAATTTCTCTTCACTCTTAAGCCTTTTGCTATCCTGATTTCTATTTTAACTTTTTGCTTTTACTTTTGTTTTTGAAAGACACTGCTTTTCTGTGTAGCTCTGGGTCATGAATGTAGCTCCTTACACCATGCTGTCCTCAACTCAGAAATACAAATGGTCCTTGTTTCTGCACAGAGGGATTAATGGTGAAGCAACATACATTTCGTGTTTGTTTGTGTGTGTGTGTGTGTGTGTGTGTGTGTGTGTGTATTGTTTCATTGTTTGATGAGCCTGTAATGTAGGTTTTCGTACATTTCAATGGCAAGTTTCTATGCCGAACTTTACTTACATCTTGAAATTTGAAGTTTGGTGGAGGGTATCATTCTCTTTCTGAGGAGAGTAGTATCCATGACATTAATACCTCTTCCTTCTGAATCATTGCACTGCAGGTGTGTGATATTCTACCTACATCTAATTTTTTATTTGAATGCTTTCTATGAATATGAGGTTGTATCTATATACAGGGGTCTGTACCACATGCATGCCTGTTCCTCATGGTGGGCATAAGAGGCCTCAGAACTTTTGAAGTTGAAGTAATGGTTAATTACAAGCCCCCTGTTAGTCCTGGCAATTGTGCCCACTTATCTGCAAGGACAGCAAGACCACTTAATTGCTGACCCAGCTCCCTTACTCTATGTTATATTTGATCATCATTTGCAGGGCTGATGTTTTCTTTGGTCCATTTGTTAAACATGCACTCCCTTTAATTAAGATCTTCTTATGAAACAGTTTAAACTGGGCCAATGCAGGGTCTGTAAGATGAATGTTGATCTAAAGTGAATACAAAACTTTTTGTCAGAACTTCAGTAAAACCTCTGATTTTTTTTTCACGTTTTTTACTTGAATGATTTTTGGATGGATACTGGGTTTCATTAATTTGTAACTCTGGCTTACCTAACTCTTTGCATAGGCTTTTACTGACATCCAGTTCAATTTAATTCATCTGCTTTTACATTGATTGCTGGGTTAATGGTAAGAGTCAATATAATTAATTTTCACATCTGTTTTCTAGGTAATCAATGTTCTTCCTATTTCTGTTATGTTTTCTATGTAGTGTTGATCTACTTGCTTTTCTGTCTCTGTATGTCTCTTCATTGGCATTTCTTTGTCAAGGCTGTATCCTATTTAAAGGGCCAAGGAATGGCACATATGAACCTCCTCTTCAGTTCCCTTCTAAGGTGATTAGTGATTACATTATAATGCCTATGTCATGCAAGAAGTGGGGAAGCAGAAGCATTACAAAAAATATATCATTTTAAAAGAAATATCCAATGTCAGGATCAAACTTTGTTTTACTGTTGTTTGGATTATTGTAGAATTCAGTGACCTATGAGGATGTGCACATTGACTTCACTCAGGATGAGTGGGTTTTGCTGAATCCTTCCCAGAAGAATCTCTACAAAGATGTGATGCTGGAGACATACAGGAACCTCACTGCTATTGGTACGACTGTGAACTTTCCTTCTCATTTTTAAATAAGGAGACAATTGTGTATTATTTATTGATACTTTTGTATATTTGTGAGAAAGAGTAAGAATGAGCCAAATAACTAAGGCATAGTTCACTTAAGATATTCAACTGTGTACAATATTCATTAATATATTATCTACTTTCTGTTACTTTATTTTAGGCTATATTTGGGAACACCATAATTTTGAGGAGCATTGTCAAAGTGCTAGAAAACATGGAAGGTAATTTTTATTTGCAATTTGGTATATATTTGTCTCTGGTGAAACTTTAATTTGTCCTGGAAGATTTAAAGAAAAACAATAGTATAAATAAGCACATCTTAAAGTATATTGATGGTCATTAATTACTCATAAAATGATATGTCTCAATATGAGATAACTGGTCTGTGTTTCCAAAGTATTCCTCTAAAAGCAGAAGAGAAGGAAATGATTCCTTTACTGATACCACCATTTCAATCATAGCCCCATGAGAACTATGCTGTAGAGCTGCCAATCCATTTAGTTTCATACCACTCAGATATTGCACAAGGAACACACATACACACATTGAATAGATAATAAGTATATGTTTAAAACTGTCAAAAAATAAGTAGTGTGTAGTAAAGCCAGTGTTACTCATGTACCTATGACTTTGTCAAACTTATTGAAAGAGTTGGTTCATGAGAGTAAAAAAGGCTCTTGTGGAGAAATCTTAATTTCTATACCACATGTCTGTGAGGAACAGAAAGTCAAACTGTGTGAATTCAATGAACAACCATTTATTTCTTCTTCCTATAATCAGAATGTCATATGTCACAAGTCACCTTACCAAAATGGGTAGAGGTCCTGTATATCTTTCAGAATAATGAGAGGATATGAAAGATATTTAGTTTTTCAACACTGGATAGACTTTTTGAATGTGCAATAAGATTATATTTAATTGGTTTTCAAACTTCCTTGTGAAGACACCAGCAAATTCACACTGAAGATAAGCCCTATGAGTGTTGGACTGTGTACTTACTTTTGTTTTTTCCTAGTACACTTTCTTGTTGTAGGTATTGCACTACAGGAAAACACAAGAATGCAAAAGGAATGTAAGGTTATTTCAAACTGAGTTAGTGTAGTTCCTTTCAAATATGTAAAAAAAAAAACCAACCTCATAGAAAATGATTCTATAAATGTGGGTCTTTTATTAAAAGACCTTTATCATCAAACGTTCTTCAAAGACACAAAACATCCCATACTGAAAAACAGCACCATGAATATGAATCTTAAAATCTGATTCCCCTTTACAATTAAATGAAATTATGAAATTACTTCATACAGATATTAAGACTCATCAGTGTAATGTATGTGGCAAAACTTTTACATGTGCCAATTATCTTTGCAGGGATGAAAAAAACCATAATGGTGAGAAATCCTCTGAATATACTCAATGTGATAAAGCCTTTGCATGTTACAGTCATCTTCAATGGCATGAAAAAATTCATTCTGCAGAGAAGCCATATGATGGTATTCAATATGATGAAGCCTTTGCAGGTACCAGCTGTCTCCAAATACATAGAAGAACACATACTGGAGAGAAAACCTATGAATGTAATCAGTGTGATAAAGCTTTTTCAAAATACTCTACACTCCAAATACATGAAAGAACACATTCTAAAGAGAAACCCTATGAATGTAATGAATGTGGCAAAGTCTTTGCCAATCAATCTCATCTCCGAAGACATGAAAGAACACATACTGGAGAGAAACCCTATGGATGTAATGAATGTGGCAAAGTCTTTGCACGTCAATGTAGTCTCAAAATCCATAAAAGAACACATACTGGAGAGAAACCCTACACGTGTAATCAATGTGGTAAAAGCTATGTACATTTCAGTAGTCTTCGAGTACATCAATGGACACATACTGGAGAGAAACCCTATATGTGTAATCAATGTGGTAAAGGCTGTTTACGAATGCGTAGTCTTCGAGAACATCAGAGGACACATACTGGAGAGAAACCTTATCCATGTCATCAATGTGATAAAGCTTTTGTGAATCGTGGTGACCTTCAAAGACATAAAAGAAGACATACTGGAGAGAAGCCCTTTGAATGTAATCAATGTGATAAAGCTTTCTCAGAGCTCTCTAAACTCCAAAGACACAAAAGAACACACACTGGAGAGAAACCCTATGAATGTAATCAATGTGGTAAAGCCTTTTCATATGTCACTAGTCTCCAACTTCACAAAAGAACACATACTGGAGAGAAGCCTTATGCATGTAATCAATGTGATAAAGCCTTTTCACAACTCAGTCATCTAAAATCACATAAAAGAATCCATACAGGAGAGAAACCCTATGAATGTAATGAATGTGGTAAAGCCTTTTCACAAATCAGTAGGCTAAAAACACATAAAAGAACACATACTGGAGAGAAACCTTAGGAATGTAATCAATGTAGTAAAGCCTTTGCACGTCGTAGAAGTTTACACATCCACCAAAGAACACATTCTGAATAGAAACCCTACAATTTTAGCCAATGTGGTAGAGCCTTTGTATGTGTCATCAGGCCTTAAAATCTTGAGAAAAATTCATATTGCAAAGAAACTATTTTTTTTTCTTTTTTGTTTTTTCTAGACAAGGTTTCTCTGTAGCATTGAAGTCTGTCCTGGAACTCACTCATAGTCCTGGCTGGCATTTAACTCACAGAGATTTGCCTGTGTCTGTCTCCCAAGTGCTGGATTAAAGGGGTGTGCCACCACATTACAGCCTGTCAAACCCTTTAGGTGCAGTCAGTGTGGTGAAGTTTTCCTCTTTTTTGTAGTATTTATATAAGAGTAAACTTTTAATCAATAAGAGGTCTATTAAGGCCTTTGCACATTACAGTAATCTGAGGACCTGAGAATATTCATACTGAAGGTAGTATGACTATAAATGTTTTGGAAATATCTTCAGACAACACACATTTACTTACATATGACTGGGCAGAAAACAAGTCTACAAGTGTCAAATCTATTCAAGCATTATGAAGTCTCTATTTTGTTTGCACCTGTAAAATTATATGGACAGAAGTCCTGTGAATTCAATGATAAGGTAACTCTTTGATTTTGCCCTTTTCTTCAATTATATAAATACACTTATCTGTAGAAATACTTTGTTTTGGGAAATAAGCAGGCTAGCTTAAAATAAACAATAATATTTTTACTAATCATAAGGGGAACCTCTTGCAACAAAATGTAAATTTCAAGTTCCACTGTGTCCCACGGAAATCCCTCATAGAGCAAGCACCTGGTCCATCCCAGTTTTTCATCTTGGCTCCAGGAAGCCACAGCTTAACTCGGTTTCACTTTTTAAAAATGATTGGTTAACAAAGCTTACCCCATCACCTCACCATTTTGTCTAAACCAGATTGATCCAAACCCAATACAACTGTGTACAAGAGGAACAGATACCAAGTATAAAATTACAAACAACATAAGCAATATTAAGCAAGGAACACATGACAAATATTTTAACAAACATCCTATCTCAAGGGGTCTAAATCTTGCATCTGAAATAAGTTTGGCTAATTCTTGAGAAAGGTTACTATGGCTATCTATTCTTCAGGCGCTTTGAAGGCCTAAGAATGTAATAATGTTACTTGAGCAGGCAAGAAGTTCAATCAAGCAGCTTCCAAAGCAAGCAATATTTGATGGAGACAATTGGCTTTCTGAGCAATCACCCAAAGTCTCATTTGTAATGTTGAAGCAACAAACTTTGGCTAAGTCCTAACATAGCTGACAGACCATTTTCAGAGGCAGGAAATTTATTTTAAAACTGTCTTACCCTATCTTTGCAAGATTTGCAAGTCTTTATTCTTGTGTCCTGCTTATTCATTCCAGATACCATGTACTTTGTCAGTGATTGAGGTATGGGCAGTTGCTCATAGGCCAGTTTTGCCAAAAAAATAAAAAATAAAAAAGATTACGCTCTAAGTGGAGTGTCTTTGTTACTCAACATTCTCTCTGGAATAGATTAGTGCTGTCAGGAGCAATCATGTCTCATGTCAACAGAACCCTAAGTTATTTAAATGCTGTGTTCCACACATCCTTGGAGTGGTTGAAGATTACCTATCTGGACAGAACACAATCTCTATGTATCTAAAGAACCTAATTGATCTGACTGTATGTACAACAAACGTGAACAACTATTGACCTATAATCATTATTACCTGTATAACTTAAAGACTAAAATTTCATGTCAGAATATTAAATAATCTGAAAACAAATATGCAACAAATAAGGACAATGACCTCAAAGTGTAAACAATATAAGTATCTTGATCAGAGGTAGGAGTAATATATAATGCAATATGAAACTATATCCTAAAAGATGTATCAATATACAAAATGTCCTAAACAGAGATAAGAACACACACATATACGATCTGTCAGAATAACTTTGCTTAGTTGTACAAATAATGTAAACAAAAATAGCAAGTATAATTTGAACTTGTATCAATATACAAAACTATATCAATGTAAGTTATCCTTGAAGAACTCACAAGTATTCACTCTGTTACCCATTATTACTATCCCCTCCTTTTTTTTTTTTTGAAGAAACATAGTTTTCACCTCAACCCTTTATCTAATATAAGTAATAATCAGCAACTTCTAAACAGTGTTCCCAGCCCTTTGGACCAACTCTTTGGGAGGTTGTGCGTCATCCTCTAATATTGCTCCCCATTGACATGGGGGTGACGTTCTCTTTATGAGATCCTGCAAAATTTACTTAAATTTTGGGTAAGTTTCAAGATTGCTGTCTAGCATAGATGTAAAAGATTTCCAAGCAGTCGATAGGGTTTCTCCCAAAGTTCTTATTTGGAGTTCTGCCCAGAATGTCATGAGAGAGTGCACCCACCCTGTCAGCAGCTGTTACCCCAAATCTGGTGTTAGAGTAGTGCTATCAGTATCATGATGTCATCTCAACCAGGTGGAATTGTTACTGTGGGGCCCAGTCTTCTTCCTGGAAGCTTCAAGGTTTACTGTAAGAAAAGGATCTGTAGTAAAGCCTATTGCTCATCAGGGAAAACTTAAACATTATTCATAGAGACATACATTCAATAAAGAATAAGATATAGACAAATTAGACATGGAGAAAAGAATTTTTTTCTTCTGTCTTATACCAGATGGCTTCTGATATGAGACAGAAACTGTGAATGTTCCTTTTTATGACACACTTGGATTTAGAGAAGTACAGAGCCATTGTCCAGCTTCAAAGCAAGCTCTATATATTCATAAATATATATTTAAATGTATATGTATTGGGTTTGTTTAAATGAATTATTAGATCAGGTGTTATCCCAACAGCTGGTCATAGACGGGAAATGTCTCCTAATAATCTTTAACAGTCATTAAGGGTCTGCAACTGGTCTCTGGTAATTTGTGCCTTTTGTATTCTAATTTTCTGTAACCTAGGTAATTAAGAACTTGCCTCTTTGAATCTTTTCAGGAGCAATTTGTAATCGCCATTTAGTCAAGACTTTACCTCTTCAAACATCCTTTCTAAAGTATCTGTATTTGAATCAGATAACAAAATGTCGTCCATGTAATGGTAAATTAAAGAAATTGCTTATGTATTTCCAATGGCTGGCTGGTAAAGTATTGGCAAAGGGTAGAGCTACTGAGCATTCCTGTGAAAGGATAGTCCATTGCTATTTCCTAGTAGGCTGATAATTATTATAAGTAGGCACTATAAAGGAAAATTTTTGTCTATCTTTTTCTTGTAAAGGTATAGTGAAGAAACAATCCATTAAATAACTATGAGAGGCCATCCCTTTGGTAACAGAGAAGGCAAAGGAATTCCAGACTGCAGAGGGCATATATGTTGAATAACCTTGTTGATAGCTCTAAGATCTGTCACCATTCTCCATTTTCCTGATTGTGTCTTACCAACAAATACAGAAGAATTTCAATGGCTGGTAGATTCTTCTATATGTCAAGCATATAGTTGTTCTTGTACCAGCTGTTCTAAAGCCTGCAACTTTTCCTCAGCTAAGGGCCACTGCTTAACCCATATTAGCCAACCATATTAAAGGCAGGGCATTTGGTACATCTGAAGGTTTATCAATTACTTTTGTGTTTTTGTACAGCCTGTATGGCCAATGTCCATCGTCTGTAATATCTTCTAATATTTTCCTCAGAAACACAAGTTTTGGGGGCTGTAGGAATGCTAATCTGGATATTCCATTGCTGCAATAAGTCACAACCCCACAAATTCACTGCAATATTGAGCACATATGACCTTACTCTTCCTATTTGCTATTCCTTCTCCAGAGTGCTGAAACTCTCTTTAAATAAATTGCTTTCACTCTGTACTATTTCCAAAAGTATCTCAGTTGACTGAGTCTTGTTAGTTAAATTCTTAGTATTCGCCGTCAGAATTATAATTTCTTTTTTGAGAAGTTTGTTACCAGTCTGTACCACTTTTAAAAGTACCTCATTTGAGTTTTGTTAGTCAAAGTGTTTGTATTCTCCTTCAGATGTACGACCTTCTTTTCAAGAAGTTTCATATTAATCTTTACCATATTCAAAAGTACCTCACTTGACTGAGTATTGTTAGTTAAGGTGGTCTTGTCCTTCTATAGATTCCCAAATTCTTTCCTAAGAGGTCTGGATTCAGTCTGTAAATACTGCACCATTTCTAAAAATATCTCATTCTCAGTCCTATTGTCAAACCATATTTTTAAGAAAAAAATATTGAGGATATGACTAAGCCCCAGAAATAAAATGGTGATGAAGAGGGGACATCATATACATCTTGTAAAACCTTGTACGTGGTGTTAAGTGAAGAGGCTATTGAAACCTTGGATGGTTAGGCTTTCTGACATATTGCCCTTTTTCAATCAGCAAATTATGAATTACATTTAGGATAACAAATCTCACCTGTGGTTTAATTAGATGGAGTAGACACAATAACCATCATCTGCTAGTAGGTTTCATGGACCACCTACAAAAATAACACAGCGGGGTGTAGCAATGCACACATGGCCTTCTGAAATCTGGCTTTAGAGCAAAATGCTGAAAGATAAATTAGACTATATGTTCTACAGATGTCCCTGGCTGTTCAGAGGCCACACAAGACAGTTGGCAGAGGGAGGCAGATGCCTCCTCAGTACAGAGGAAGGCATTGCCTGCGGTGGCGAAACTGGGCTGTGTAAGCTCCTCAGCTGTTGTGGTGGCACTGGACGTGTGCTCCTCAACTTTTTCCGCCCCAGCCTCCCATGTCTCTCCACCCACACTACTTGAGCTTCCATGAGAGCAGAAAAACTGGAAACAGAAGTCAGCTGGTAGCAGCTAATCAGGGCCACTGTGTGGGAATTCTATGCCCAATTGAATGCAGCTGGCCAGAGATGCCAGAGACTCTAGTGGTGTAGTGAGGGGCTGCAGGCAGGCCTGCTTTTCGTC